TTGTGAGAAGTGTTTGAAACCCTTTGGGAGAGACACATTTTCTCTCTTGCTTGTGCCCTTTCCTCTTCCAGGGGTCAGATTTCTGGGAAGTTCCCATCTTTAGGGTCCATTATTTCGACAATCTGATAGTTTGATTGAGAGACACAAGTGTCTCTTTAGAATATCTTTATTTCTGCCAGACCAGTTACATGGTGTGTGTGTGTGTGTGTGTGTGTGTGTGTGTGTGTGTGTGTGTGTGAGAGAGAGAGAGAGAGAGAGAGAGAGAGAGAGAGAGAGAGAGAGAGAGAGAGAGAGAGAGATTGGGCTTTACAGTGATGTTCCCCAGAAAAAGCCATGTGTTGTTACATATGACCCAGAAGCAGAATATAGAAGGCTCTAGAAAACATCTGTTTCTGGTGTTAGTGGTATTCAAACATTTATTGGGTTCGTGGTTAGGAAAACAGAAGCAATGGCACACAGAAGCCATATTTAGCAGGACTGATGAGTCAAAAGACAGGTGGGGCAACTCACCAACAATGCTTGAAGGGGCGTGTCTCAGGATAGACCTCTGGGAATGCTGGGGAGGGCTCAGTCACAGCCTAGCTCACTTGGCTTTGAGGCTGAATTTTAGGACTTGTTTGTATCCTAAAGACACTTTAATGGGAGCATGGGTGTTGAAAGGAAAAATGTTGCTCAAGGGAAACTGTAGGATGGAGGAGATAAAGAGACAAGGCCAGAGAAAGGGGAGAGTAGGGAGTTATTTCAGAACTCATCGTTAGTTTTGATGTCAACGCGTTGAAAGTTTTTAATTAATTTTTTTACTTTAGCATCTAACTTAACTCACACGCAGTTTTCCCAAAGAGTTCTTTTTTATTATGAATGACAATTTCATCAGTTTTGGTTTGTTTGTTTGTTTTTTCAGATCATTTTACATTTAATTAAGGAAGGTTGTCTATTTTGATTCTTTTTTTATTATTATTTTTAAATTTTATTTCATCACCTAGGACTTTGTCAAGGATGTACAATAAACCAGTTTGGGGGAAGTAAACGTTTCTTTTCATTTTTCCAAATATACATATATTCCTTTTCACCTGAAAATTTGCCTGTCTGTCTATACTAGCTAGCGGATTTGTATTTTGAGTCAGTTTTATGAGCTGCTTTGGGGAATGATTTTCTCAGCTTCACACTGAGATCATCTCCTCCCACTGGATCGTGGGATTACCCTTCCGTGGTTACGCAATCACCAGGGTGCTCAGTACCCTGGGTGACCAATCCTTTATACGTCTGCTCCAGGAATGGGGTATGTTTATTGTTTTCCCTTATGGGGCTGTTGCCTGTCATGGGATGTTCCTTTTGACACCTTCACACTTGTGGGAGTGAACAAGTGCCTCTGAAATTCCTACACTAACAGCTTGGCAATGGCAAGGTCACAGGAGAATCAGCAAAAACCAAGCAGAATTATGCTTAGGCCAAATAAATGATAATAAACCAAAGCATTTCAAAGACAAGGAAAACCAAGGCAAACACAATAAAAACCAAAATGCTTTCAAAGTTCCAAAAGTGAACAAACCCCAAGTGCCTTGGGAGATCCAAAAGCAAGCAAGCAAAAACACAAAACTAAAGCAAACGTTTCGCCCAAATGCTTTTACAGCCAACAAACTAGGTAACTTTAAACCAGTGCTTCTCAACCTTCCTAACGTGGAGACCCTTTAATACAGATTCCTCTTGTTGTGGTGACCCCACCAACATAAAGTTATTTTCGTTGCTATTTCATAACTGTAATTTTGCTACTGTTAGGAGTCGTACTGCAAATATCTAATGGGTAGGATATCTGACATGTGACCCCTGTGAAAGGGTTGTTCGAGCCCCAAACCCAGGGAGTTGTGAGATGTCTATCAAATTAGGACAATTAACTAGCTCGGAGGAAGCACCATGGACCATGGACCAAGTCAAGGGAGATCTGGAGCCCTGGAAAGGACTCTCCAGCAACTCCCCTGAGGAAGTAACACTGGATGGCCCGAGTTCAACGGGCCCATGTGGGTATCTGACTTCCAGCTAGGTGATTCTTTCGGTGAAAAGTCCATCATTCTCGGAGCCCCATATCATAGCCCAGCACTGTAACTGTTGGTGTAAAATCCACAGCTCTTTTCTGAAAAGAGTAAGAAAGTTTCTTCTGGACTGTGGCCTGGGAACACAGATTCAGGTTATCCCAGATTCCATATGGTGATGTGGAAACCATTTCACAAACATTTTATAATTTTTACAGGAAAAAAAGAAAGTCATAAATTGAGGCAAGTTTAAAATACACTGGTGGGTACTCCAGAGAGGCAGGTACAGAATACTGGGGGAAGCTTTACTATAAGGCCAAGATGTACTCTGATGACATTCTTAGCTTTCGGGTTGGTGGAAGCTAGTGGTCTGCTAAGTTAATAGATTCCAAAAGGTGTCTATACATTAGTCACAAAATGTTAGTTCATTAGTTCAGACACAGAGGTGGGCAGGGAATCACTCTTCTGGAGGGTTAGAACTGTCCCAGGATAAGGTAACGAGCCTCTAGGCCTGCAACATCCCAGTCTATCCCCAGTGCTGACATTCTATCAGTCAGACCTGCAGACACAGCTTCTTTCCAGGAATTCTTTCTCACAATAGACTTATTATATACTCCCAGTGTTTCAGGCAACAATGTCAATTTCAACTTAAAATGAATCATTCTCTCCCCGTGTGCTAAGTATAAATACTGTATTTTATTTAAATACAAAATGAGTTTTGGAGTAAGTTTAATAATCACCCTTTTGGGGCTAAGAAAATGAATCCCAGAGAGATGAATTGACTTATAGGTATAGGGTACCCAACTCATTCTGGTTTCCTTGGGAGTGCCCATTGAAAAAATGTCTTGAGTTCAGTCTATGCCCTCAGTCTTGGGCAAGCTTAGACAGCTGACAGGTGGCAACTTATAGAGCAGAAATTTAGAATGGTTTTTCCTTCCCCCCAAACCCACTAAAAGCAGCCAAACATATTGGAACATTAAATAAGCTTATTATACTGCTCAATGATTGTGTGTGGGGAGAGGACTGTGTGTTCGTGTATGTGTGCATGTGGAATGTATATGTATATCTGTAGGTGCATGTGTGCAGGGGTGGGTGGGTAGGGGTTGTGTGTTTGTGTGTTTGTGTGTGCACGTGGAGTGTGTATGTGTATCTGTAGGTGTATGTGGAGGGGTAGAGGCTGTGTGTTTGTGTGTATGTGCATGCGGAATGTGTACGTGTGTGGGTCCTTCCTCAGTAGCCATCCATCTTGTTTTTGAGACATGGTTTCTCACTGGGACATGGAGCTTAGTGATTTGGCTAGGCTGGCGGGCCAGCGAGCCCGGGATCTCCCGGTCTGTGCTGTGCCAGCCTTGGGACTACAGGTGTGTTCCAGCTCTTCACACAGGCTGGGGGGGTGCCAGAATACCGGTCCTCCTGTCTGTGTGACAAGCTCTTTACTGGCTGAGCCATCCCCAGTCCCTCGGCAGCACTTGAAGTTCAAATATTTTACTTAAACTTCCTAGATTTTGTTATAACCTTACCTGAATTGTTTTGAGGGAAGAACACCCACCAATAATGTTTTCATCATATACTGTTGAGAAAACTTATAAAAATTATGAAAATACACGTGTAGGGGTGCATGTTTCTCCTTCTGGTTCAATGGCTCGGTATGACACTGTCAAATTCTGTTACTATTTTTTTTTTTTTTTTTTTTTTGGTTTTTTGAGACAGGGTTTCTCTGTGTAGCTTTGCGCCTTTCCTGGATCTCGCGCTGTAGATCAGGCTGGCCTCGAACTCACAGAGATCCGCCTGCCTCTGCCTCACGAGTGCTGGGATTAAAGGCGTGCGCCACCACCGCCCGGCAAATTCTGTTACTATTTAAGACTTTGATATTGTTTGCCACAAACAATTTCTTGTCTGACGTTGCATTAAAATATTCTGTCCCAATCCCAGGTTCACTGTCATGGCCAGCAGGTGAGGAGCAGCAGGCACTTACAGTGAGTTGATGGAGAACGATATTTCAAGAGAAATGTCAAGTATAGAGTCGTTTTGTGGCAGAGGCGAGGGCCTTATTTTCCTTATCCTAGGGTATTCTAATTTTATCTTAAAACTCAAGAAGTATTGCCTTCTTAACTGAGTAGCCTCGCCCCAAGAACACATGAACTGCTTCAAATGTGTCTCTGCTTTTTGGTGGGGCTGATTCTCTCCGCCTCAGGCCTAAGATACAAGGCCAGAGAAAAAAACATACTGTTATTGGATCCACCCCAGGCACTTCTGACTGTGGTTCCCCTGCAGAGGGCGCTGTGGAGCCCCGGGAGCCTCTAAAAGGAGGCTGTAAGTCAGGGCTCTATCAGTTGCCCATCACTTCTTGCCTTTCACCGGCTGTAGGACTGTTATGAAATAATTGACTTTGGTTTTTGGCTTCAGAGCGGCGATGCATCTATTATGCTCGGTTTAGCTCTCTGATCTCAGACCAGTGCCAGATAGGTCCAGGCTCTTCTGCCCTGTGGGTGCCTACAAAATCTAGACAATTTTCCCCCAGGTATTTTGGCATGGTCACAGCTTCTGTGAAACTGTTTTCCCCTGTAGGTCTAAGGGGACCACAGAAGGAGTTGCTGTGGCTTTCTGGAAAGGGAGGGTGTCTATGCCAATTCTCTCAAACAAGTTTTGACATTTCTTCTGAAATGTCATCCTCTGTTGATTCCCTGCAAGTGTTGGCTGCTCCAGGCCTTCCCTGCTGGCAATGACTGTGGAACAGGAAAGGTGGCATAATAAAGGAGCTGTGACCCTGAAGGTCGGGGGAGGCTTCTGTCGGAAGCAGCTTTTCTTAGTAAGTTGTGTGAGCACGTAACACCTCTCGCGCCCAGCGAAGGCTGTCTAGTTCCCACCCAGTGGACACCTGCTGCTGGACTATTCTTGCTGGCCTGACTGGAGAAATCAGTAGTCCTGATCTCTTTGAATTTCCACCTCTGCTCTCCAGGATCCAGGTATAAGATGAAAGCTTTCGGTTTTGCCTTTGGTCTGTTCTTCGCTGTGGGTTTTCTCCTCTGGACTCCTTTGACTGGGCTCAAGACTCTGCATTTGGGAAGCTGTGTGATCAACTCAAACCTCCAGGCAATACAAAAGGAATTTTCTGAGATTCGGGATAGTGTGGTATGTAAAGGAGGGATCCAGCTTTCCCCTCTGTCTGTCCTCTTCCCCCTCTGTCTGTCTGTCTTCCCAAGGTATCCCTGACAGCATGTTAATGAAAACAGGCCAGATGGAGAGAGACTCCAGTCCTGGACAGTGTATTTCCAAGAGATGCCTATACTGAATAGTTTAGAAATGCCTCTCATTGGACCTGAGTGGGGAAGAGATCAATGGTTTTCATATCCAAGACCCTGGTGGCAGTCAATGATCTGTCTTTTCCTGTTTAGCAAGCTGAAGATGAAAACATAGACCTCCGAATCTTAAGGACAACTGAGTCTCTGCAAGAAACAAAGGTATGGACTTCATCTGGGGGGGTTCTGGGAGGGCAAAGCCAGAGCTTCTCCACCAGGCCTGGTCTTGTCTTCCCTTTTTCCATGAATACACTTGTCATATCTTTTTTGCAGCATTCGGATAGGTGCTGTTTCCTCCGACATTTGGTGAGACTCTATCTGGACAGGGTATTCAAGTTCTACCAGACCCCTGACCATCGCATCCTCCGAAAGACCAGCAGCCTCGCCAATTCTTTTCTTCTCATCAAGAAGGAACTCGCGATCTGTGTGAGTAAAGGTCTCGGGGGCAGGGCTTGAGCCCCTTAGCAACCAAGCTCTTTTTCCTATTCTATTGACTGGGTAGAGAAATCGAATCTAACACTACTAAACAAAACAAAACACCAAACAAAACCAGTGTTGAACTATGTAACTATTTAGAAATACTTTGCTTTATTGAATACATGCTCCATTCAAAAAGCATTTTTAAAACTTTGAAGAAATATAAAATGCTGGCTGTTTGATGTTTAGGATTATTATCTAGTATCCATGAAACTAGCTTTCTGTTTTTCCTGTGGTAATGTACTCTACAACCTTGCTAGGACATCTTGTGCTCAGGTGGTCAGTCAACAGGTCACTGGACTTGATCTTGGGTTGTGATGGGACCTTAGAATTGCATTCTTTCCATGGGGCTTAGGTTTGCTCTGGAGCCTCCTAGACAGGAGCTGGGGCAGGAAGTCAGTGGAGCTCACAAACTAGAAATTCCTTCGGCACTACCTCTTTCTAAAAAGACTTAGTGAGATCCATATTGGAAACTGAAAAACTGGCCTATTTGCCTATCTGATGGTTAGTTAAATGATCCCAAATGATGAACCATGAAAAGACTTTCCTACAGAAATGTAGGAAGTGACTATTCACAGGATTATAGGTAAAACAGATTTCTCAGCTTATGCCAAGCCAGGGCAGAAAAGTCAAATTTTAAAGTAAAATTACAACCGGAGAGATGACTCAGTAGTTAAAGAGTACTGGGCACTCTTGCAGAGGACCTAAGTTTGGTTCCCACCAACCACATGGTGGCTTACAATATTCTGTTAACTCCAGTCCCAGATCTGATGCCCTCTTCTGGTCTCCATTGGCACTGCATGAATGTGGCACACATATACACATGCAGGCAAAATTCTATATACACTAAAAGGTAAAAATAAAACTTATCATCCTTTGGGTCTTTTTCAGCATTCCCGTATGGCATGCCATTGTGGGGAAGAAGTAATGAAGAAATACAACCAGATTCTGAGTCACTTCACAGAGGTATGTACTATTTTTGTATGGATTGTGGTAGCTGTGTTTTTGGAACTGAGACTGTAGATAAGTGGGAGGTATATTCATGTTGGAAAAATCAGGTTAATAGTTCTCTATGGTTCCAGGGACCATCCCAGGTTCTAGAAGGATACTATCTCTACATGGCCTACCAGTGAAGAAAGAATCTCTATCCAGAGACACCTGGATCTTCCAAGGGGCATAGATGAGAAACAATAGTTTTCCAGTATGCACACACATGCATACCTTCACAAGCACTCACCTGAAATATCATACATACCCATCTATGTGTTTCTCACATTGATACTTTTCCACAACTGCCAAGAAATTCTGAGTCAACTCCTCGCTGACTTCCTCCTCCTCCAGGATTCAGCCTAGGCATCACCTCCAGGAAGGTAGCAGATGCTTCTCCCAGAGTTGTCTACCTCTTGCCATGATGTGGGGACTCCTATCACTTATTATTCACCATCCTGCATTTCAGTTGCTATTCCTGCCCATCTCCCTTCCCCAACCAAGAATTCCTTATGGGCAAGGATTGTCCATTCACTTCTGAACTGGTCCAGTGCTTGACATGTCAATATTTATCAGATCTAAGTATACATAGTAGGGAACACAGACAACACAGACACAGACACGCAGAGAGACATACACATACATGTACAATTCTTGAGGAAAACAGCCTTATTTTCATCCATGTGAGTCAAGTTCTCTCTGGGCTGCAGCTAGAGTTTTCTGTCTGGCCCACAGTCAGGACAAATCTCTCTCACCCGCCAGTCCCACAGCTGCTCAGACCCAACCAAGTAAACACAGAGACTTATATTGCTTACAAACTGTATGGCCGTGGCAGGCTTCTTGCTAACTGTTCTTACAGCTTAAATTAACCCATTTCCATTAATCTATACCTTGCCACATGGCTTGTGGCTTACCGGCATCTTCACATGCTGTTTCTCATTATGGCGGCTGGCAGTGTCTCTCTGACTCAGCCTTCCACTTCCCAGCTTTATTCTCCTCCTTGTCCCGCCTACACTTCCTGCCTAGCCAATGGCCAATCAGTGTTTTATTTATTGACTAATCAGCAACACATTTGCCATACAGAGCATCCCACAGCACTGGGCCTCCATTGCCTGTGTAGTAAGTCCAGGGTAGTGGACTCATAGTTTTCCTTCCTCCTGTGGATATTTGAGATGCTGTCACCTCTTTACATCTCTTCATTTGAAAAGAATGCTCTTGTCAGTATCCCGGCTGAGCTGCCAACAGGAGGGAGGACTGTCCCTGGGCAGATGTCTCTGATCCCATGCATCTATTCTTCTTTCAGCTTGAACTTCAGGCAGCGGCAGTAAAGGCGCTGGGGGAACTCGGCATTCTCCTGAGGTGGATGGAGGAGATGATGTAGATGAAAATGACGAGGCTGCTGAGAACACTCCTGCCCAAGAGTCCCAGTCCTCAGCACCGCAAAGACATGGCCCCAGAGGCTACTGAGAACATTGCTACCCAAGAGTGTCTGTCCTTAGTACCATGAAGACATGACCTCAAACCACCACCTCTTTGTCATATAATTTAGTGCTGGTCACAGTGTATATTATTTATGTATTATTGATTTCCTTATGTGGATGTCTTTGTGTGTCCCCAGTATTACCTTATACTGTTAATTTTGTAAAATTTTCTGTAATGTCTTTTCTAATGAGAGCTATATTTATTCATTAATATATGTATTTATTTTCTACTGTACTTCTATTTATTTTATATTTAAACACAAGACCTTAAAAAGATTATATTTATAACCTGTCAAGAACAGGTGATGTATTTTCATATAATAAATAAATAAACAAGCCCTTTAAATTCCAGAAGAGTGGCTAAAGGAGTTAGTGTTTAATTGAGGGCATACTTACTACTGAAGCCCAACGAGACACGTGAGCCAATGGCTTCTTGGTATGAATTTTGGAAGAATCCACCAGATAGGACAGATTTAGGTGTCTTACAATTACTGAACATTCCAACCCAACTTCCCAGTCTCCTATGTATATATCTTCTGACTCTGAAGTCCTTGGCGCATATGTATTTCTACAAATAAAGTTTTCTTTGTGTAATATCTGCCTGAAGTTGAAAGTACTCCTAGAAAGGAACACTGTTGAGGGTGAGCTTGAATCTCAGTTTCACTCAGGATCCTCTGGCTCCCTGGGAAGGAAGAGGCGTGAGAATCTGGGCTTCTTACTCTTGTGATCCATCTCCAGCTCCATGTCTTAATTCACTGCCACCTCCAATCCTGTGATTGACCTCAGTGAATGACAGGCGGAGGGAGGGTCTTGAGCCTTCCTGGTCTCGGCTCACCGGCTCTGAGCGCTGTTCTCCTGGCACCTCTGTTTTCTTTCTTCACGTGGTTCGTTACACTCTCGTACCAGGCACTTTAACTGTGACACTGATTGCAGTGGGCACAGGTTCTATGGTATTGCTCCAGAGTCTTCCCACGGAAGGGTGTGAGCCATCTCCCGAGGCCCTCCCATTTGGATTTTCTCCAGTCATGCAGGCTAATTTGTTGCTGGATCAAGTCTTGGTCTTTCGGTCTTTGTTTAACCAAAATGTTTTTTTTTCCAGGTGCTCTTTCCTGGTCCCAGGAGCCGGCTTCTGGCCTGGCACGGTCCCGTCTTCCTTTCCCCTCCATCAGAACCGTGTCCCCTAGCCTTGTACTGTTCAGCTTCCCCGGCCAGCTTGGCTCCTTTACCATTGCCTCTTTTTATTGCCCCCAATTTCTGCTTTGACAGACTTTTAAGAATTAAAATTTTTAATATAAGTAACTATAGGTGTAATTCTGAATGGTTTTATTAAATAAGAAACACAGAGCCAAATGCAGAGTTAAAAGCCAAAGAGGTCAGAGCAGCAGCCAAGAGCTAAGACGAAGACCGCCTTTTTACCCCTCACTGTCGCTGTCGTCCTTCCCCTCAGAAAGAGACCTACTTCCTGTGTGTCTGTCTTTTTATTGACTTTCTGTTCTGCCTTCTCATTGGTTGTAAACCCAACCACATGACCTCCTCGTCGCTGCCTGTCTATATAGACCTCCAGGTCTCTATGGTTGGTATTGAGATTACAGGTGTGTGTCTCCATGCTGGTGGTATCCTTGAACACACAGAGATCTGCCTGTCATGTGATCGGGATTAAGGGCATGTGTTACCACTGCCAGACTTCTGCTATGGCTTGCTATTAGCTCTGACCCCCAGGCACTTTTATTTATTAACATACAAATAAAATCACATTTCAGCACAAATAAAATATCACCATAAGTAACAACTGCCCAAGAGAGAAAAATAGGAAAAATAGAGCTAAATATGAAGAAGAAAATTAAAATCACCCTTCTCACAACCATAGAAAACAATTTTTAAATATTCAGTCTCTCTCACTCTCCATCCCCGCCCCCTCTTCCTCTTCCTCCCTTTCTTGATTGAGTTTAAACCGAGACTGAATCCTCGTTCTTGAGGGACACACCGACTTCTTCACCAGGTTCTTCGCGTGGTTGTACTTGACTTACACGGTACAAATGAGAAATTCAGCAGCGGGTAATCCAACCACACTAGGGTTTGAGGGAGAACTCTGGGAAGGTGGGTTCCTGGAGGACGTATACTAATGAAGGGTCCACAGTGGTTCTCAACAGCTGCAACCGAGGAATCAGTACCCCCGCCCTCATTCTCAGTTCTTCTTTCTGCTGTTGCAGATGAGAGCAGCCATGGTCTGAAAATATTGGGTTGCAAATTCTAAAAGCAAATGATCTGTAACTTTAAAATGACTTTTATTATAATGTGTTGCGACTGCTGCTAGTCTTTTATGGTGCTTAATTTATACATTAAGCTTTATCATAGGGGGGTATGTGTGGGTATGTATGTATATATAGAGGAAAATGTAATGTCAAGTCTTCCGTGTCTGAGGGTTTTGTACATGCAGATTCAACCAGTTGTGGATAAAAAATTTTTTGAAAAAAAAATCACATCTGTATTGAACCTGCATAGACTTTTTTCATCTTCATTTTTTTAATAGTACAGTCTCCAAGCTATGCACATGGTTTTTATATCATATTAAATATTACAAGTAACTAAAGATGGCTAAGGTCCACAGGAGAATGTGCAGGTTGTGTGTAAGTACTATGCCATTTTATATAAGGGAGTTGAACATCCATGGAGTTGAAGATCCTTGGGGAGAGAGGGCAACCTGGAAAACAGTCTCCCACAAAAACTGAAAACCCTGTATAAAGGTCATAATAGCCGGGCGGTGGTGGCGCACGCCTTTAATCCCAGCACTCAGGAGGCAGAGCCAGGCGGATCTCTGTGAGTTCAAGGCCAGCCTGGTCTACAGAGTAAGTTCTAGGACAGGCTCCAAAACTACACAGAGAAACCCTGTCTCGAAAAAACAAAAACAGAAACAAACAAACAAACAAACAAAAAGGTCATAATAATTGTAGCTTCCGTCATCCAACAGAGGGCTTAGAATGTGTTCCGCAAGAATACAGGGAGGGGGCTACTCTAACTAAAATGAGTGCTGTCGTTAAGTACTTATGACATGGGAGGCACTGTATTGGGAACTTCACATACATTGTGTTACTTACCCCTTAGGGTAGGCTGGTGAGGAAGGCAGTCTCATTACCATCTACAAACGAAGATGCCTCCAGAGATGCTCACAGGCGGCAGAACCAACGCTTGTATAGGCAGCCTGATTCCTGCAGCCCAAGTTCACACGGCCACTTGTGATGGGAGTAAAGTACAGCCTCAGGCAGGAGGTAGAGGAACCACATCCCCTCTCTGTTTTAGTCTCTGGTGAGAAATTGATATACAAATGGCAGGCAGACCATACATAAAAACAGAACTCGGACCCATAGTCTGCGGCAGCCACCCCAGGAAACCAGCTCAGTGTCTACAGTTCCCAGCCTGAGGAGCCAGTCTACGGTTAACTTTTAGTCAGATTTGCTGCTATCTAGATTGCTTTCCCTCTCCAGCAACAAGTTCAGGAAACAATGGCTCTTGTAAGCAATTGGCTCCAAATGCCCAATTTATTAATAACTGACCAAGAAATCCCAATACACAATCCCTAATCAGCCTCACAGGATGCCCTAGTTAGGCCTAGATCCCTATAGCTTCCCCGGGCCAACACCTCTAACCAGAGTGCATCTGATGGCGTCCATTTTGTCCACAACAAACCTCCCCACACCTCTGCCCGCTCTGGAGTCTCTGCTAAAACTCAGGTGATGGGAGCAAGCTCTCCCTGTCTTCACCTGGTAGTTCGCTTTGTTGTTGTTGGAAATATTTCTACCTTGCTTTCTTAAAGTGAAAGTAGTAATATAGGTGGTTCTGGGTTTGTTTCCAGACACTGGATTCTACCACGTCTCAGGGCATCAGAAGAGTCTGCTGCCATGGCTCCCTTTCATAGCCCAAAGGAATCTGTCTGGTTCAGCACCTGAGTGAGTGTATATGATCGGGCAGGTCAAAGGGATGGCCCGTTCTCTGGATGCCTGGAAGCCTGGGCTAGTTTTCCCTCTGGTGAGAGATGGGCTCCTTTTCAGAAAGCATGGTATCCCACGCCTAGGAAGGAGGGCCAGAGATTGGAGACACGAACAATAGAAAGGACCTGCTCTGTGCTTTGTTTCCGCCCTGACTTTGGGGCAGCCCGATTCCTCTATTTTCAGAGTCAGGCCTTTCCGGCATAATTCACTCTGACTTGTGTGTGTCCTCCTCCATGTAGACGGACAAGATTTTCATTTCCTCACTGGAACCTTCAGTTCCTAGAGAGACAGACTGTGTGTTTTTTTCCTCAGGTGTTGAATCTTCCCCACTCCACCCACCTTAGCATACCTCAATCCTGTACTGTCAACAACCATTGAGTCCAAACGTGAGAGAGGGGACAGGGTTTGAAAAAAAAAATTAAGATGTCAAAAAGAAACCCGAATTCAGCAATGTTTTGTTTGTGGACCAGCTTGGTCTCTGCTAGAGAGCCCACTTTGCTTGGCAGACAGGGTTTCGCTCACGGCAGGGTGCACAGAAAAGAGCCGGGTGGCAGCCGCTCCATGTTTCCCTGGAAGGCCAGGAGAGCGCAGGCGGCACACTCACCCCAACTCTCATGGTAGCTGTGAGTCAACACTTACCGGGAAAAGGAAGAGGCAGCGCTCAGAGGTCAGGAGGCCATGAGTCAGGAGAGCCCTAATACCTCTCAGAGCATGTTCTCTGTCTTATTAAACATTAGAACTCATCGCAGAGAACGTGCAGATCAGTTCAGATAGCAGTTGAGTTTCAGCGAGGGAAAGTGACTTGTCCAAGGTTGTACAGAAAGTTGTGGCAGAGCTGGCGCTAAAATTAAAGTCCTTCTGCTTCCAGTAAACTTAACCGCAACTCATTCAAGAATGAATTAAAGTCATCTAGA